CTGGTCACTGCCAGTTACAGATTTACATTGCACCTCTATCCCTAACTAGGACGTGTCTTGGTTATTCTTGGTCTGAGGGGGCTGACCCACTATCAGAACTTCTAGGCCTGCCTTGATGATCAATTTGGTTCTTGTTGATGGTTTTAACTCGTTCGATGCCGATGCATTTCACCCTTATGCTACCTAGATCCTGAAGTCACATTTACGTAAAATTTTGAAACTAGTGTTCAGTAATTATTTAAAATTGAGTTTAAATTAACACACTTATAAGCGGATTCTAATAACATGCTGGTGCCACTGGGTGCTTAAAAGCAAATATTCTGTGTGGGGAATAGGATTAAAACTGAACCTAAAATATTTCGGAGTGTTGTAAATTTTTTTTTAATTTTTTTAGACGTATCACTCAATTTCATTTCTCAGGACAGCAGAGATATAATATATTCCAAGATGTTAACTTGATTACAATAAATATTAATTACTTATTTATTGAAAAAAAGATATGCTCTACTAAGAAACTGTTGTTTTTGTTGTTGTACTCTTACTTAATGTGTGAATTTTTCCTAATGCGCAGAATGTGACAAGCATTTAACCAATCCTTAAAAATGGTGATCCATTTGACATAAGTGATTGTAGACCTATTTCTTTGAATAATCGTATTTTTCAACATTTTTCAGTATTTTTAAATATATCGTCAAGTCAACATGAATTTATAGAAAATATATCAATTACAACAAATTTTATATGTTTTACCTTTTTAAAGATAATAATCAGCACAGACAGACAGATAAATACCAACTTTTCGAAGGCTTTTAACTATCACAACATACTTCTACAATAATTTTAAATATACAGTTTATTGGGTAATTAGCTAAAACTTTCTAGTTCATTTACAATATATCACTATAATATCAGATTTCAGTTTGGTCAGTATCTATGTACTCCTGGGACACTACAGGTCTGTAATCTGGACTTTCTTCTCTTTTCCATTTTTGTTAACGACGTTACCACCTTAATTGTCACAAATTAATCTTATGATCATTAAAAATATGTGTAAAATGAAGCCCTCTTTTTAGCAACAAAGTCAACCTAGACATCTTGAAACATACAGATTATCTGGGGGTTTACTTTTATTATAATATTCTGCTTTCATTATTTTATGCATACATCCATCCTAAGCTAGAATATTGCTCTCCAGTTTGGGTTATCATGTGCAATATATGACTTTGATAGATTCTCCGTAAAAGGGTTATTAAAATTCCTTTCGTTCTACTCTAATGTCATATTTCCTTCCTGTATGACTATAGATTTTTGATAAGTTTTAATTTTCATTCATTAGAGTTCAGAAGGCATTTCCATAGCTTAAATTTTTTTAATTTTTATATTATATGTTTTGACATTGTAGTTAAAATTGTAAACTTTGTCCTATAATTGGTGTTTCACTGTTGGATAAATAAAATAAATAATTAAATCAGATCAACATCTTTCTTCTTTTTAGGTCCAATGATTCGTTCAAATATGTATATGATTCAACAACAACAGCAGCAGCAGCAGCAACAACAGCAGCAGCAACAGCAGCATCAACAGCAGATACCACAGAGGGCAGCTATGTATTCCAGACAGCAGGGACCAATGGGCGGAATAGAATCTGTCCAGCACAATGCTTCTGAATGGAGGCATTTACTCATGACTCAACAGCAAAACGCTAATTTCAGTCCTATGAGACCTAACTTCCAGCAAGGTACGATTATTTAAATACAGTGTGCAAAATGAATGAAAAGTAGGGGGTCAAGCATCGGCTAATACAATGCGTGCAAGTTGTTACAGTATGTCGTGACTTGTGAGTGGTGTTTTGCAGATTAAAGCGGGGATCTGTCAGTGAGAAATAAAAATGCAGAAAAATAAAAATATATAAAGTACAATATGTATCTAGTACAAAAAATCCTTCCTTGAAAAATACTAAAAATCTGGTACAAAAGTTTCTTGCAAATATAATCATTGTCATCATCGTTCTCTTTCGAAGATGTTACCTCACTATCATATAATCTCAAATTCTTCTGTTTAGTTCCCAATATTTATCTTTGATACTAATAATATGATTTAGGTATATAAGATTTTCTGCTAGTCGGTTTTACCAGTTTTATTGCCTGCCTTGTCAGTTATTAAATTAGTGACTGATAATAATTGAGTGATGTTATGGCTTTGTATATTAATTGACGTCTAAGCCAACTCAATTAGGGTTCAAGTCACACAAGGGGACTGGAATATATCCATGGAGGTGAAGAATTTCATGTACCTAACTAAGGTTATTTTGTTCAAATTAGGACATAACTACAGAAATGGCGGGTATATTGAGAAGTAGTTAGTTGACTAGCATTTTTTTAAAAGGCCAGAAAAAAAAATTGTTCTACCCCTTTCATAAAAATACAGTCCGAACCAACCTACACGATTAATATTGGACTACGCAAAGAAAATCTTGAACAAAGACAATGACATTTTCTGCTAGTATTTCTGTACCATCATGTTACCAAGTTTCATTTAGATACACAATAAAGTGTCTTTCTTTTTGATATTTTTTAATAGCTGTTAGACATTTTAATCACGAATGTACAACGTTAGGCTTTCCGATTAGAATTTTTCTTTTACTTTAACATTTACCACACAAATCCTCGTAAGCGTAATAGTTTATGTAATGTTCTTGGCTCACAAGCACAATCAGAATTTTGTTTTATGACAGCAAATAGCTTTCTGCAGGTTGGAACTTGCTTTGAATTTACATGAGTCTTTTAATGTCCTTATTATTATTTGAAAATCAGAGTCGTTTTCTTCTCGAATGATAATCATGGTTTTTTTTGTGTTAGTAAAGTTGTTCCGCTTTTGTGTTCTTCCCATATTTTCTTTTATAGTGCTTTTGGAAATGTTGCACTTTATGCGTTTGTAAAACATAGTCCTTTGTAGGATATTTTTTTTTAACCTCCGATAAGTTCATAAATAATTTCTAGACGCAGTACAAAAATGAGCTTAGATAGTGACGTTCATAGTACTTTCGTTATCTCTCCCTCTAGTGGCAGAGGTGTTCATATCAGTGTAAGCCATGTACCAAGCATGTAAAATGTAGGATATTATTAACTCGTCCGCCAAATGTAGAGTGTATGACGTCATTTGGTTTTTATAGTCCGAAAGGCATAATAAAGCAGAAGTTTAAGAAACCGGTCCTGTTTAAACTACCTAGTTCATGAGGGAGGGCGTGGTGTACGATGTTTATAATGAGGTGGGTAAGGTTGTTCACGATTTCTGAATTCATCACTGATTTTCCTCCGATTTGAAGATTTTCTCATACAGTCATTATAGAAAACCTTGTATACAGTAAAATTTATGCATGGTGCAATAACTTAAAGATGTAATCAATAAACCTTGACGACACATCTCAGTTTTACTCTTATTATTGAATTAGTAAATATATTTACTTTGTGGGTGAAAGCCATATTAAGCCTGAATTGTAACTGATCATTATTATGATCGCCTGGTTTTCTTTCATTTCATGGACATTACTTTGAACATGTACATTTTTAAATAATATTCTTACAGGATTCAACATGAACTCAGGCAATATGCAGCAGATGTCTGCTTTACAACACCAGCAAATACGAACACAGCAAGGTATGGTTTCTGGTGGCATGACCGGCGGTCAACAAGCCCTAAACCAAGGAATGGGCCAGGGGCAGGTTATGACCCAAGGCAACAGTCCCATGGCACAAATGAACAACATGAATCATGCTGTGTTACATATGCAACAGCAGCAGCAACAGAGTTTACTACAACAGAATTCGCAGGTATGTGTAACACTATGTTAGTACTAATTTGTGTAAGTCGGACTGTATCTACAGCATTTTCGACTCGTTGCACTTTCATGCATTTGGCTTCATTTAGTGTCAGAAAATATGTTCGTCTGGTGGTACGTTTCCAATTCGTGGTGTTTGACTAGACAAAAAAAAAATACAAACGCAAACTTTGCACTGCTGGTGCTTTTCGACACCGACTGATAAGTTCAGTAACGATCACTAAAAATAAAGTAAATAAGTCTTGAATATTTTATATGCTATTGATCGCTAGTGTTTAAATCGCTGGAAATAGTTTTCAAGTTCGTAGCTTGGCCGCTAGGGGTCGCAATCTACATACCAAAACATAAAGTTAATTTTTCTCAGAAATGTTTCCTATTCAGGTATATTAAATAGTACAAATATGGATAGCCGGATTTATTGCGCATAACTTTTGTTATTGACACTTTGTTCTATCTCTCGACAGAAGGGGTGTGGGAAGCTCCTAATGTCTGACCAGAAAAATACAATTTTTGAAGGATTGGCTCATCAAAAGCCCTTAGTGTTATACCTCATTGGAAAGGTCTTTTCAAGCATTATTTCGTGGTGAATGCGTAATGTCATTTACCTCAGTATGGAAATCTATAGAAGGCATTATTTCAAAAGAATGCCGTTTTATGGATGTTTCTTTTTTATGGAGCTTACTTTACATAAATGAATTCAGCACAAAAAATTAATGAACATATAGTGTAAGTTTGTGTTCCTCGATTCATTATCATTATTTATTTTTTGTTCACTAATTTGCGAACAACTTGATAACAGAAAAAGATATCGAACCCTTTTTGGCGTCAAAATGCAGCTATTTTGATACTCATGAAACTAACCTATAAAAAGTTTTACCCTGCTGTTTTAATTTTTTAAGAAAACGTGAAACAACCTAAACTTGGATAAATAGTGCCAATAAATAAACAACACTTTCGTTAGAAATTTCTTATACTAATACTGTAGCCATCAATTTTTTGTGCTGAATTCATTTATGTAAAGAAAACTATAGCGTTGCATTTAAAATTTTTGAGAAAAATCCATAAAACGGCAGTCTTTTGAAATAACGAGGTTTCCATATTGAGGTAAATGACATTACGCATTCACCAAGAGATAAAGCATGAAAAGACCTTTCCAACGAGGTAGGTATAACATTATCCTTAAAAAAATGTACTTTTCTGAACAGACATTAGGGGCTTTTGTCGATAGATAGAACAAAATGTCAATAACAAAAGTTATACGCAGTGAATCCGACTATCCATATTTGTACTAATTAATATACCTGAGTAGGAAACATTTCTGAGAAAAATTTAAGTTTGATTTAGGTATGCAGATTGTGCCCCCAGCGGCCGAGCTACGAACTTGAAAACTCTTTCCAGCAATTTCTTTTGGTCGATTTATTCATCAAATCTTTTTTCCCAATGTTCTAGGACCTATATTTTCCCTAATATTGTACCTAGCCGATCTTAGTGGGACACCCTGAATATGTTGAAAAATAAATTCACCTAATTTGGAATTTTTCTTTCTTCTCTTTCAGATGTCCATGTCAAGTATCCACATGCAACAGTCACAATCAATAACGGTAACCAATCAGGCATTGCAACAGCAAGGTAACTTGAACAATCAACTCGTCAGTGGCCAGTCTAATAACCAGAGCAACGCTCTAAGCAGTTTCAATCCCCAAGCAGACTTTAATTTTGAATTCCTCGATAACCTGGCAACTGGTGACACTGGGGCATTTACAGATCAAGAGTTGTTGAATTCTTTTGACAGTGATGCTGGCTTTAATTTAGATTTTTAGTGAAATTTTATAGTTTTTTTTTTTGTTAACGGTTTTTATATATATATTTTTGTATATATTTATATGTATTTAACTGTGGTTTCTGTTGGTACTTCCATCTCGTTAGGCATACTTTCTCATGATTTGTCGCACTTCCAACTTGTTTCTTATGAATTTATTAAAAATGTATTATGGAATTTTCAAAATAAGATTTTATTTATTATTTAATTTAATTACTTTTATTTTGAGATTAATATTTGAAATTAATTTATTATTCATTGTTACTTTTTACTGAGTAAAATTTACAGGCTGGAGTAATTTCTGTCTGAATATTCTAAATATTTTTGAAAATGACAAAATTCTAAATTGGTGACCTGTAATTTTTTTACTATATCAGAGCATTTATTTAGCTCAATATGACGGTAAGCTAAGGTAAGTTAATGGTATATTCCTTGTAAAATAATTTCAAATGGTTATTTTCAAAATTGAATGTTAAAAATTCATGAATACAAAGTGGTTATTTTGGGAACAATAAAAATATAAAATTTCTTAGGTTCATTCCAAAGCTGACACTAAACTTAAATATTGTTTGTGATATTTTATTTACACTGCCAAAAAGCAGAAAATATTTGGAGCTGTGAATCGGTGGAGTGAATTATCGCAAAATATTACTTTTATCTAAATTAATTTTTCTCGTAACAGTAAATCAATACATTTTTAGAGTGTTTTTATATCTGCCACCAATAATAATAAATCAAAAGTTAATTAGTTGTGTATTCATATCAGATTTCATATAAATTTTAAATAGGTACCTTTTAGATTAAACAATAAATGGGGCGGGCAAGAAACTTGACACATTTTAATACTTCAATAGTCATCGCTATCAAAAAAATCAAATCAAAATAAATATTAAAAAAATACAAAAACAAACTATAAAATAATATCAAAATATAAATGATTGTTTTTGTTTTGAATTTTACTGTTTTGATTCGTAACATTAAGAAAAACTAGGAGGAATTAATATGCATTTGTTACCGACAGATAAAACATTTAGTTTTTTTAAGTTTCTTGTCCTCCTTATCGTTAATAATGGTGTTTCATCAAGTTTTTTTAAATACTTTACCTTTTTTCAATGAAAATCTGGTCTAGACAATTTTTATGCAAGCCTCTACCAACAACAAGAAATATTTATCGTAATTAATAAAAAAACATTTTTATTAAGTGAAAAAATATTCTGCATCGTTCAACGTCATAATTGTAAATCTTTTCTCAGTGTATATTAGATATCAATTAGAAAAAAGTTCTCATTAAGAAAAGGTAAAATATTTGACATTAGACTGGTTAGTATGTAAATATTAAATGTATTAACAGGCAATGTTAAAATGGGTTATTTAAAAGTATATGCTATATTAAAGTAGTTAATATTTTAGCAAATTTTTGACAAGCGTAGAATAGAAAGTTTAAATATTATATAAATGCAGCTTGTTTAAAATTTGCAAGTTAGTGAAAAAAATATGGAATCAACTGACTTAAATAGGTAACTTTCTTCAGTCTTAATATACTGAGTGACAGAATTCACATTACACTTTATTTTTGTCCGTTTCAAAATCTAAAATTATGTTTCTAAACTTTTTCCATATACAGGCTGATTCATTTACAATGGGAAAATTGAAAGCTGAAGATACTATACGTGAAATGGTGGCCATTAGCACAAACATGCCTTATCCGAAAGTTGTTAGTTTCGGAAATACAGGGTGTTGAAAGTTAAAATTTTAAATAGTTTTTTTGCGACTATTTTGAAAATATGTAGGTTAGGAACTTGAAAATTTGTGAAATTAAATTTTTTTAAGCGACGAATAAGATGCGTGTAGCAATTTCAACGTTACTCATAGAGGGCGCCACTTATGACCATTTTTCCGAAAATTTAGTTAATAACTTTTTACTCTGTATGTCTAACATGAAACTTGATTCAAAACCTGAAAGAGCAATCATTTTTCCATTAATTATGTACTCTTGTTTCATTTCAGTATCTGGATTTAACGAACACTATATTTCGATAATACCAGAAATTAAAAGCGAAATAAACTAAGTGTTTCTTCATGTTATTACAACATTTAACTATAAAACAAATGAAATACGTAATAATGATTTAAAGTAATTGTTCGAAGAATTCACCATTGACACTGATACACTTTACTCAACGTTTTCCGAGAGATCTTCGAGCTTGAAACAATATATTGGGATTGCGTCTGACTTCGTTGGCAGCGATTTGTATTCTTTGCCACAACTCTTCATACGAACCAATAGATTCTTTGTAAACGATATCTTTCATTCGAGACCAAATAGAAAAATCAAGAGGATGAAGTCCGGACTTCTGGGTGGCCAAGCAAAAATGCTTCCACGGCTTGAAGAAGTTCTACTTTATTTAAGAAGAGACATGTGGTTCATGCACGATGGAGCTCCACCGTATTTTTCTCAGTTACTGCGTGCATATTTAGATGCAGTTTTTCCAAATCGCTGGATTGGCCATGTGAGCATTTTTGCTTGGCCACCCAGAAGTTCAGACTTCAATCCTCTTGATTTTTCTTTTTGGTTTCGAATGAAAGATATAGTTTAGAAAGAATATATTGGTTCGCGTGAAGAGTTGTGGCAAAGAATACAAATCGCTGCCAACGAAGTCAGACGCAATCCCAATATGTTGTTTCAAACTCGAAGATCTCTCAGAAAACGTTGTATAAAGTGTATCAATGTCAACGGCGGATTCTTCAAACAATTACTTTAAATCATTATTACGTATTTCATTTGTTTTATCGTTAATTGTTGTAATAACATGAAGAAACAGTTTGTTTCGCTTTTAATTTCTGGTATTATCGAAACGTAGTGTTCGTTAAATCGATTTTTCTCGAAAATGGATCGAGATACCGAAATAAAACAGGAGTACACAATTAATGGAAAAATGATTGCTCTTTCAGACATACAGGGTAAAAAGTTATTAACTAAATTTTCGGTAAAATTGGTCGTAAGTGGCGCCCTCTATGAACAACGCTGAAATTGCAACACGCATTTTATTCGTCGCTTAAAAAAATATAGTTTCACAAATTTTCAAGTTATTAACCTACATATTTTCAGAATAGTCGCAAAAAAACGATTTAAAATTTTAACTTTCAACACCCTGTATTTCGGAAATTCTCAACTTTCGGATAAGGCCAATGGTTACCATACGTGTAGTATCTTCAGCTTTCGATTTTCCCATTGTTAATGAATCACCCTGTACATAAATTACTCGGTATATTATTTTCATTACAAAATTATGTATATTGAAGTAATAAAAAAAATTGAGAATGTGATCTCAATAGAATTAATTAAAATAAATCTAAAATGTAAAAAAAATATTTTAGGTGAAATTCTTCGATATAACTTCCAAACAAAACATTCCATTGCACTTCTGTAATTTTAGATTTTTCCAATATCTATACAGTATTTTGGGGAAATTAGACCATTACTGATATCAGTATTTTATGATTGTATTGTGTAAAAAAAATTAAAATTATGATGCATAATTTTTAACAGGCCACAGTTCAGTTTTGTGTATTATTTATGTGTGTACTTAGACAAATAAAAATTGTTATATTCTAATTTTTACAGACATACAAGAGTTTATATTGAGAATATATTCCATGTTTTGTAGATTTATTATAAATCAGGTGATTATATATAATAAATGCATATAACTCAAATATTACTTTTACTTCCATTTATTTGTCCCTAATTTCTAAGAAAATTAAATAATAATTTAATACTGCTTGCAGTTTCAATTTTTTTTTTTCAGTTGCAGAATAGTGACAATATATGGTCAGAGAAAAAAGTGTGAGATATAAAAATTGTATAAATTTTCCTGAGCAACTAGGAGAATAATACAGTGAAAATTGGTTATAACGACATTGCTTTATTGGATATAACGACGGAATTTGGAAGTCCGGATTTAATCCTATAGAAATACCATATTGAAAATATCGTTTACTACGACACCATTTACGACATTTCAGATTTAGCGACGTGTTTTTATATACATTTACCATAGAATCTGTCGGTTATAATGACCAATACGGCCTTAAAACCAATGCACCGCTCTTCCGCCCGTCCCACCGGCATCCATGCTTTTGACACCAGTTAGTACATTTGGGACAAATTACAACTTATCTACGCATACAGTTATTTTATATGCATTAATTACCACTTTCTATCACAATGTCGAAGAGAAAAGTGTTTAATAAAGAAGAAAAATCACATACAGGGTGTTTGTAAATAAGTGCGAAATATTTTATCGGGTGGTTGCCAAAGTTATTTTGTGAAAAAAGTTCATATAAACGTAGGTAGAAATTTTCTTCGTTTCCGAGATATAGTGCTTAAATTTTAATTTTTTATTTATTTTTATTACTTATTTCAAAGGTTTAATTAGAAAACCGCTTTGGAGGGAGAAATGTGTATTTTTTAGGGTAATCCGAATATTTCTACTTGCACCAGTGACATTCGTGCCAGAATGCCACAATCATTTTTAATAAAAAAAAAATGGTACGGCACTGACTTTTTCCCGTTTTCATATCTTTTTAGAAATCCGCCATTAATTCTGAGTGAAATTGGTCTCTTCAATTTTTTTCGTAGGATGCACTGTTTTTAGGAAAAAAATAAAACATATTTTATTGTAGGTTTTGTTAATCTTTTATTTAAGGAGGTTTATCTGATTTGGAATTGACGAACAAATATTCATAAAAAAATTAATATAAGCTTATTAATATGAAGAAAATCCTCAAAAAAAATTATGACTATAGTAGGATCGTATACGATGCAAAGTAGAGCAGAAAATTGTCGGCCTTTTATCAAAGAAAAATCGTGTCATCATTTTTAGGAGGCGTAAGATAAATCATTTCAAATTTAAAATGAAATTCAATGTAAAATCTGAAATACCGCTGCATACGCACTGTGTTCTGGTAGTAGCTGTAGTCGCCCAGGTGCATCGAGTGTACGAACTGGTCGGTTATACGTCAAATACTAACCTGGCGAGTTTTGCCGTCAATTAGAGAGCGCTTCCAAAAAACAAGTAAACAACAGTGGCGCGTACAGAGGTAAAATGTAGTACATATGTGGAATTTAGGAAACAAATTGGATTTATAATAAATTACATTTAAAATAAACAGTTTATCAGAATAAAGGAATTTTTGTAGCAACAAGGGTGCCAGACCTGAACTGATCCCCTCGTCCCTTCATAATGTATAAAGAAATTATTCAATTTGTAAAACCCTTAAAGGCATACTTCATTGGTTCCCTTGACAGGCAATGATTTATTACTTTGCATCGAATATGATCGTACTATAGTTTGGATACCTAAGAGACGATAATAAAATAATTTTTCACGATTTAGTACAGCCTTATGAGAATGCAGATTTTTTTGGTCTTTCCACTTAGAATGCGCAACAATTGACAAACAGTTTCCACAGCAACTTGTATAAATAGGAAACCGATATCTAAGGTACCGTATGACAGCTTGTAGAAATCGATTAGGTACTTGTAAGATACATAATTTATAATAATTCTCCTTCAAACTGTTGCCATTGACTAACTTATCCTCCATATGCGCGATCGCGGTCTCGACGTAGCATATTATTTGAAATTCACAGGTGTCCAAACAAACAGAATGATCGAACGGGAGCGAGCGAACGCTATGCCGAGCATGCCAGCCAAGTGCAACGTTGCCAAATATAAAGGCCACTTTAGTCACTAGCGAATCTACAGAAACTTTCGTGAGACTTTAGACGTACCTTCGTACCCAATAAACCTCCTTAAAGGTGCAAGTAGAAATATTCGAATAATCCCAAAAAAGGTACATTTATTTCTCCAAAGCATTTTTCAAATTTCGAACCAATATCTTTGAAATAACTAATAAAAGTAAATAAAAAATTAAAATGTATACCCTCTGTATCTCGGAAACAAACCTACTTGAACTGAACTTTTTTTCATAAAATAACTTCGGCTCCTAAAATATTTCGCATTTATTTAGAAACACCCTGTTACCATAGAGATTAAAAAATGGAGAAACTAATGCAAGCAAGCAAAAGAATGTGGCGTGTCACACTACGATTTCAACAATTTGGAAGGATACAAATAAAGTAAACAATTCATTGAAAATTAAGCATGTACTTGAAGACTCGTATTGTAAGTTTCTCATTTTTTCTATAAAAATTTTAAATAAAATATATCTAGGTAATTGCTTATTACGTCTATCGGTTATAACAACCGTAACCAAACGGTCCCTTGAAGGTCGTTATAACCGATTTTCACTGTATATAAAAAAAATTACTGAAGTATATATATGAAATATCTTCCATGATTATGAGTCACTTAAGGGTCCAAAGGCTTAAAATTATTTTGGTTAACACATACCCTAATGAAAATTAGGAATGCGAGTCTAATGGCTGGGTTGTTTTTATTTTCGCCATTTTTTGGAAAGGTCAACGAAAATTTTGACACTCCTTGTACTTGTTGGCGGCCTCGGGGAGAAATGGTGCATGCGTTTCATCCTCGTCTGAGGGAACAGGGGATTTTTGGCGGCAAACGTCTTATCTGGGTGGCTCGGCAGGTAAATTTTGGAAAGGTGCATGAAATTGTTTTCTACCCGTGCAATCGGAGGGGTACTACAGCGCTGTGTCGCATGTGTGTTTGTATCGTCTAGGACAGGGGTTCTCAATCTTTTTGTGCCTTCTTAGGCGCAAAAACAGACACATTCTAGAATGACGGTCTGGCAGCGGGCACCTATTATTTTTTCAAGATAAATTTTTAGTTGCACATTTTTAATAATATACGTAATGTACAAAAAATATTTAATTTCAAAAATATAATTTCAACATGTAAAAATTATGATTTACATATATTTTTGTGTAAAATAAATTGGCAATGTTTATTAACGTTGGCAGCATAGCGATCATAAATAGCTTACAAATGTTTATACAATGCTATGGGAACCTTTTCTGTCAAAATAAGCATTTGACCAAAAATCAGAATGGGCTTTTCCACACAAAAAAAAAATTCCCAAAAACATAGTATATCGAAAGATAAACTGTAAAAATATATCAAAAACAAAAAATAAACCAAACACAAATGTCAAAAAGCACATGGTAACAAAGAAATAGAAGTGAAACTCATTCGGTAACTATTTCAGTTCACAAATATTGCAATAGGCAGCCAAAATTAACGATCACCAATAATAATTGTCATATTTTTTGCTGGCGGTGGTTTATTGAAAACTTAAATATTTTTTTAAAGGGATCGCACAGCGGTGGGCATCTGCAGGGAGTATGGTTGGGGACCTCTGGTCTAGGGCATCTAGGCGTCTTCGTGGCGGCAAAATTTTCAAAAGATGGGTAAAATTCACCGTTGCCTCGGCAAGAAAACATCAGTGACGTGATTCCCCGCTTTGCCTCTTTGGAGCAGCGTCTATGTATTTTATTTATGGTTAGATGATACTTGGCGGCAACTGCATCATGCGTGATGCATTCTCGGAGTATGAATAGGATATTTTGGAAACATCGGTTAAAAATTAAGTTTGCTTGTGAAACCCTATTGTTTCAGTGAGAACTGTCAATGCAATATGGATTCCTATTTTGTGGCGGGAACTGCACCTTGTGGGTTTGGATTCTTATTATTCTGGCGAGAACTGTGCCATGTGCCATGGAGGCAACAATCCTTCAAGAAGTTTGAAAGATTGTTGCGGGTATTTGAAACATGGGCAAAATTTCAAGTTCAGTGGCCCTACGTACTATGACAATATATTATATGTACAACATAATTATACACCAAAATGGTAATCTTGCTGCAATCTTGAACATGCATTGTTTTGCAATTGCCTCTCTCAATGTGAATGAACTTCTCCTTAATGTACAGAGTGTCTAGAAATTAATGGGCAATATTTCGAGGGTAGCTCCCTTTAAATGAATATAAATTATAAACCATTTTTTACCAAGTTACCTTCCTATGTTAGTAAGTATTAGTTACTTAAAATAGAATAAAAAAATTTAAAGCGATAATTTTTTAAGAGCAAAATTTTATTAATCTAAATTGTTTTTCATTTCATTCTAGGAAGATATATTTGAAGAGTGGCCAATTCATTTCCAGATACCCTTTATATGAGTTGGTTGACATTAAGACCTCCAATAGTGCGTTTCAAAAACAGTAAAAAAAATTTATATATGTATATGAAATACATTAAAAAAAAAATAATCTTGAAAAAGTTAAGTCATAAAATGTCATTTATAAAGGTAAAAAACTAACAGTATTGACATATTTTGCATCCTCAAAAACTTACCCATATTAAGTTTCAATGTATTACATTTTTTTTTTTTTTTGAAAATACATATATCGTCATCGTCGCCTTAGTAACAAAAGCGCATAATTCCATTGATCTAAATTTTACAAGAAAGAGTAAAATGTTTATAATTACAATATTATACATATTTAAATTGTTCAGCAAGATTATTATATTCAAATATAATGCCATGAATATAATTTTAAATTTTAAATATATTTTTTCATATATTTGGGACTTAATTGGAATTGAATTGAGAATTAATTGGTGTGGTATAAAAATAATTTTTATTAAATTTTTGTATGGATAATTGTGAATGTCGCGCATTGTTCCCATTATTCATTAAGCACAAATAATTACTAAAAAACTTATAACTTTTAGAAAAACCGGCAAATTATTAGTAGAAATTGGCATCGTATCTCATAATATAACCAAAAATCTAAGTATGAAAAACGCTTATATCCAAATTGTTATGAATTTACTATTTAAATAAATGCTAAACCCATAATTTGCACATACTAAACTTACGAAAACAGATTTAAATGTTAACACAAACATTTCAAGCAAATATAAGTATCTACTTACCTATATAATAGAAATAGTCTTATCAATCACAACACACACCTCTGGATAACATATAAACACTGGGAGTTACACGGTTTTCTATTCTTCTAGGCGGGAATATACTTATACGCAATTTGCACTTGTTGAAGTTTTACGCGCGTAAATTAGTTTGTCGAGTTACATGCTTTTCTATGACACGGGTTTGATTATCAGCTACAAGATGGCATTAAAATACCATTTTTCCCCTTGATTCCCTGAAAAAAAGTTCCCCTTGATTTTATATATTCCTTTCATTGTCATTAGTATACTTTAGTATAGTAATAGTATGGTGGCGATGTTAAATATAAAATTGCTACATTTACTATCATTATTTATTAACGAAAACATTGCCCAAAATAACTAGAAAAGTAAACTTCTAATATAAAACATTTTCTAAATGATATAAAATTGTTCCCAGTTCATAATTTGTGTTTAGGTTGTAATAAATCCAAAATAAGTGGTGTGAAATAAGTTATTATTACATCTGCACCTAAAAAATATTTTTCAATTATTATTTATAGTGCCTCTGTAAAGACATAAATTCAGTGTAATATCACAGACAATATAGCGTATCGCTACAGACTGCTACTTAAATGCTGGAAATTGGCAACCCGAAATGGAAGCAGGGTCTCCTTAGCCGGCTTCCAGCTATAAAATTTAGTGTGGTAACTCTTCTACTTGGTAATATGCGGCAGTTCCAGCGGTGGCTTTGTTGCCAAATAATAACTGCTAAATAAATTTAATTCTTTCAATTATGTAATTAAAGAGATAAGGAACTTATCTTGTGTTTGGAAATCACATTTGCCTTAAATGTTAAATAAAATAAATCAAGTTAGAATTAAAACTATGAATTTACCTAATTAATTATTTATTTTATATCACCTTGGAATGGGAAAATTTAAAAACTCGAAAGTAATGTTTTTAGATTTGTGCGTTTCCGTTTCCGAATTATAAGACCTTTTTTACTATATAACCTTACACACCTCTTCTTTCCGAAATTTATTTTCCACATACGGACTTCGGACCTTTTGCATTCAACACAGAAGGAACATACAGAACCCGGGAGGTAGGGGTTGACATTTTTCAATTATTTTTCTGATTCAACGTACCGCTTCCGAGTTATAAACACTTTTATATCCTATGACGTCACACACCGTTGGTGCCGATTTTTTTTTTTTTGACATGCGGGTTTTGACGTTTTTCACTCGTTCACCATGGGAGATTTATTTGTTCACCATGAGAGATTTTTTGATACTTGAGAGTCTAAGCATATACTGTTTTTTTTTCTTTCATATATTGTGACACCCCGCTCTACGTAACCCACCGAGTGCTCTACTCAGAACCAAGGGGAAATTTGTTTATATTTCCAGCCATTTCCGAGTTACAAGCAAAAACCATTTTTTTTCTTATACTGTGTGACATCATAGATCGATAACGAAGGTTTAACAAGGCCACGCGCTCTACCCCACGTTCCCTCCCTAGGTGTCCTGAGATGGCTGGGGAGACTCCTGAAGACAGCAGAGAGAGAGAGAGAGAGAGAGAGGGGGAGGGGGAGGGAGGGAGGAAGAGAGAGAGAGAGAGAGCTAAGCTCTCTATGAGGACAGAGTCAGTCTATCTCTATCGCACACTATAACTCTATCTCTCTCGCACACAATCAGACAAAAACGACAGAAACAAACCTTCTTTTAAAAATACATGGGATTTATCATTATTAGAATAACCCATTTTAATTTAAAAAATTTAAAAAATTACAATGGGTTATTCTGATGACGAAAAATAAAAAATAATTAACTGTATTATTCAAATAACAATAATGTGCAAAAGTTCTTCAGGAATATTGGCAAATTTATTTTGGAGGAAGAATCCCATCAACGAACACTAAAAAATATTATTAGAAACCTTAGGTAGCCAGTAAACAGCCCCGATCTCATTGTCATGCCTTTAGACATATTTTTTTTACCTGAAAACTTGCAAGTATTGAAAAAAAAAAATACAGGACGAAATGCTTGATAATTTTGAATTTGTTTTTGAAGCAATTAATAGTAAATTGAAACATATTTTCAACTGTATCATCACAATCACTTGCATGTTGATTTGTAAAAATTGTAGGTATATTAATGTTATTTCGTTTTTAGTTATTCTCCTTATGTTGTTGTAAAGGTTAGTTATAAAAAGCGTTGTTGTTTGTTATTTTCATAAGGATGAATTTTAATTTTTTTTTAAAGATTTTTTTTATTTTAAACATATATGCCAGTAAATTTTGATGTCAAATGAAATAAAGGAAAAGTCGTACATTTGTATTTAAAGTTTCTTTCTATCTTTAATTATTAAACCTATAAGTGGATGTCAAAATACAAAAAAAAAACTGTACCTACATTCCGCGACGTACTAATAACCCACCTTGTATATTTAATAAATTTATCGTCCTCAATTATTAAAAAAATTATATTACAAGCTGTTTAAAATATTATTACGAATTTTGTTTATTTGGAAATATATTTTCTGCAGTATTTCAATACCAAAAAATGAAAATAGTAGGTAGCTAATTAACGAAATTATGATTAAATAACTTAATTGTAACACCACTGCAGAATATCATATGATACATAGATAGATATACGTTGATTCTTTAAAAACATTTTTATCAATACCTACATCATACATTGAAGTAAATACAGTAACGCAAAAAACAGATATTGATATTAAAAATGTGTACAAAAGAAATCCGTAGGTACGCCTGGCAACATTACCAAAGTCTTGTTTATATGTTGCTAGGATACGCTTAGGTATGCGGGCCGCTGTATTTGATTCTTCCTAAAATTCTGCTGGTGGTGTACTCTACCGGCAATTCGGAAATTTAAAACTGCTGGCCTATTCCAGGAGCGGTCTGTGGCGATAGCTATTTTGTCGGTGGTAATATCGAGTAATTGGTTTCAGACACATAGATTTTTATTTTTACTGCTGTTTTTTTATAACGATTTTATTATATGAGAAAGAATGTAATACTGATATTTTTTGTTGTCTATTGAGAAATCCAGAATGGCTGAACGTGCTACTCTCATATTTAATACATTAGAACAATTATTGATAAATATACAGGTATGTTTTCTAAGTAACGGATATGAATCGGTCTTTAAATAAAAACAGTTAAAAAAGTTTTGAAGGAATGGGTCTAATTTTCATCGCAAAGTATTTTAAAAGAGCTTTTGAAAACAATAAAAAACCGACCAGTATACATTAAAAAAAATCCTCGATCAGAGCTTTTACATAGACCATCATCCTCTTATAAAATCATTATAAAAAAGTGGGCAATTAAAAATAAATTAAAATCTTACCTGCACGCCTTAACGACCGTAAAATCTCCATCAGACCAGCTTCTAAATCAAATGTCCCTGCTTGTGAGGCTTTGTAAATCATTGCATATTCCCCAGACACTTGGTAAACGAACATAGGATAGTGAGGAAACTTATCTTTGATCGTTTTCAAAATATCCATGTATGCCATAACTGGCTTTACCATGAGTAAATCGGCTCCTTCTGATACATCTCTCTCTGCAGCCCTAATGGCAAGGTTGGCACTAGTGGGTGGCAACTGATAACATCTTCTATCTCCAAATGCTGGTTTTGATTTTGCCGCATCTCTAAATTATTTGTAAAATAAAAATTAAAAAACTTTTTTGTAATATTTTCTAATTGATTTCTAAATTGATTTTCAAAATTTTAGTTAATAATGATTTCATAAAAATCAACCACAAATTGATTATTTTAGTGCTAATTGATGGACTACCAAATAGAAAATGGCAATATTTAAAATTGTATTTTTGTATTTTTGCTTTATTTGTTAAATAAAAATACTGCGTACACATTTTGTTTTAACAAAAATTTGTTTTCAACATCAAAATGTTCAAATATTCAATCACAAATTATTTGCATATACAGTGTGTCCTTGTATAATTGTCCCAGGTTTTGATTACTCGATTTGATACATATTGTACTGAATGACATAACTCTATGAATCTTATTTTATATGTAAATGTAAATAAGAACCAATAGACTGTCAAAAACATTTGACTCGAGACAAATCGAGTAATCAGAATCTGGCCCTAGGGCACCCTTCTAAAATTTTCCTGGGCCACACAATTTAAATGAATTTTTTGTCATATACAATGCCTTGTACTTGCTAAACCAATTGATAATGATTCAGTTAGCAACCCACGGCTGCCATAACTTTTTCTTTGTAATTATTTTTGAGAAAATTGCTCCAGACACTTTTTAGAAAAAAGTCAGCGCACTTAAAACTCATCTCAAATTTCATTAATTTGCAATGTGGAAATATATTTTTATACCTACTTAAAATTTTAAATTATTAAGTTTTGGTTTCAGTTTAAAAATCTACTGATTGAGGACGTAGTCATATGCATGTACACATATAAAAATCAACTTTAGTCTATGTGTTATTTGTAGACTTGAATACCACTCGATCGATTGAGCTTAAATTTATGGGTTACATTCGACACATTACTGGGACGGTTTAGAAAGTAGTTTGAGCAATACTCAATAGGTTGTGCTGCAAATTGTGGCAGGGTTCAGATTGTTTTTAATTAAAAAAATATCCTTAAAGTGGTTTTCCCAAAGGTTGCTTATAAAAAAGTTGCAACAGGCCATGGATAATTACATCCACAATATCTAGATAAACAGATCATTCCAAGCATATACTGGTTCTGATCTTAATAGTTCCCATCAGTATATGTGAGACAACTAACAAATGTTCTAGTTATTTTGATGTCTGTCTACAAACAAGGTGTGAATATCCTCATATTCAAAGTCAAAGGCCGTGCGAAAGGGGGCTACACTTGAAATAACACGGATAAACACCCATTATCTATCGATATTGCCAGAGTTGACGACAGGGATCGAACCTGGACCAGAATAGGAGGTCTGGTTAAAAAATGCTTGCCACCACACATTCGACAGACTACGCTACCGTGCCGAATAAATGGATGAGATCTTAAATGTAAATGTATAGGTACATTGAGAGCAAGACTAATGTGAAAACGGGTATATGTCTTGTGGTTTTACTGACAAATAATAAAATGTTTACTGTAGAGGTAATTTAATCTTGTCAAGGCATTAGTCCATAGAGTAATTGTTTCACACAATATCAAATTTGCTAAAACTTTCTTTCGCCTAGGGTGATGTTGGTCTTGCTCTTACAGTACATACAGTTAACAATGCAGATTAACAGATTGTTCTCTGCCAGGCCTAGGCATGCAGTAGCAATAACCATTTAAGATTTAACAGAATTTGTTTGATATATTTTGTTATCATTGAACTGTTTTTTCATTTCAAATCAGTGATGACAGTCATTTAACAAAAATGACCAAAATGACCAGTCAGTGACCATCAAAATTTGAAAATGATAAATTTCTCCCTACATTTATTTCAATAATTACATCAAAATCATTAGGTATGTTTCTGTAGTAATCCAGCGGTTTCCAATTGTCTAGATCATGCGCATTATAAAATTACTGTTTCCGAGGAACAAAGGACCCCGCACAAACCTTATGGGAAACTCCGTTCGGTCAATTTTAATAAAATTTTGTGAATAGGTTGTTTTTGTTATGAGGAACAAAAGTCTTCATGGGCCCAAAGTTCACTAATGGACAGTTTCCGAGATATTCGATGTTAAAAGTTGATAATGCGAATGTGTGTCAAGCACGTGTTTAAATGCTTATTAGTCGCGTAAAAGCTCCATGAAGCTTAAAAACTGTATAATACGTATATAATCGTCTATATAGTGCGTATCTATTCGTTTGTGTGAGTGTGTGTATACTTTTCATAAATAAACGAAGAGGTTAGGAGTAATGCTATAGTAATACTTCTATATTCACGTGGAATCTTATTCCACGTGAATAAGATTGATTCTTCTCGATCAATTATATATTTTATTTGAGTTATTAGCGTATAATTGTATCCAAAGTAACTCTAGAGTACCACCCAGAGATGGAGTAGTCGAAACAACTTTAGGATACAGTTCTTCGCGTGTTTTTAAATCAGTATTTCAAAATATATATCGAAAAATAACGTGTTTATAAATATACCTCGTTTCGTTGGACTTATTGTCAAATAGTTCTTAATCGATATTACTGTTCAATTACCATTCACTTGCAGTTTTTGCTGTGTTATACTCCCGATATTGCTTTGGTTATTTTTTCACAGGTGTGTTCATTTTGTAATTAGCAGTTGAGCTTGTTGCAATATAAATGGCTTTCAGGCTACAAATGCAATGTTATAGTTGCGATCTGGCTTTCGCCCCGTGAAATATGGCACGTTTAAATAGAGTGGTAATGGTAAATGTAGACGTTTTGGAGATATTGCTATAAATCGACGAAATGACGCAAGTCTGCCTCCAGCAATTGTTACACCCGAGACTCGAATATGTAATAATTGCTTCCAAACTATTCGTCGTGAAATTGAAATAATAGATAGAGCAATTATTACATATTCGAGTCTCAGGTGTAACAATTGCTGGAGGGAGACTTGCGTCATTTCGTCGAATTATAGCAATATCTCCAAAAACATCTACATTTACCACTCTATTTAAATGTACCATATCCCGATCGCAACTATAACGTTGAATTTGTAATCTGAAAGCCATTTATATTGCAACAAGCTGAACTGCTAATTACAAAATGAACACACCTATGAAAAAATGACCAAAGCAATATCGGGTGTATAACACAGCAAAAACTGCAAGTGAATGGTAATTGAACAGTAATATCGATTAAGAACTATTTGACAATAAGTCCAACGAAACTGATATTTTTCAACATTCTAAATATTTGACGTACTCATAAATAATAGTATAATATTTCTAATATCTTCACATAAAATATTCTCTGCTATCGATATCGATAGATTACTCACAGTTGGATATCTAAACTACGATGTTAAATAAAGAATATTTTTTTCTAATAAAATAAGTATATTTAAAAACACCCTATTTTTCGATATATATTTTGAAATACTGATTTAAAAACAAGCGAGAAACTGTATCCTAAAGTTGTTTCGACTACTCTATCTTGGGTGTTACTTTGGATACAATCATTACATTGTTTTCAATCATACGCTAATAACTGAAATAAAATATATAATTGATCGAGAAGAATGGTTAAGTTAACACACACGCGCACCCACACGTACGCGCACGCACACGCACACACACAAACGAATGGATACGCACTATCTAGACGAACATATACGTATTATACAGTTTTTAAGCATCATGGAGCTTTTACTCAACTAATATCAACTTTTAACATCGAATATCTCGGAAACTGTCCATTAGCGAACTTTGGACCCATGAAGACTTTTGTTCCTCATAACAAAAACAACCTATTCCCAAAATTTCAATAAAATTGACCGAACGGAATTTCCCATAAGGTTTGTGCGGGGTCCTTTTAAACTCTGTTTAGAAGTTTGGTGTTCGTGCAGCATTTTCGAACTGTCATGAAACCGTTTCCTGATGATCGTACTGATTTCAGATTTATCTGTGAACTTTTAAACCAAGACAAGCACATTAAACTCATGGTAATCCTAGTTGTCTGATATTGGTTGTTTGATCAATTTCTAAGTTAATATTTGAATACATTTGCTTGTGATTTTTGGCAGAATGATGTGTAAAGTATTAGTTATGTAATTTGTTTTTTTTTTTTTTAATATTACTAATTATGTATAGTATAATATGTACTCGTATTTGGAATTGATAATATAGAAAAAATTAAGTAATTATTAGAATTAAAATCAAAGTTTCCATAGTACAGTCAGCAACTGGCGGACCGCGGTAGGTAAAACACTGGACCACCAAAAATTTTTTGGAAGTATAAATTACTCAAATAAATTATTTAAAAAATATTTTTTCTATGTGTGTGTGTGTGTGTGTGTGTGTGTCATTTTTTCTAGTATTTTACAAATGTGTGACTGATTTGAGTTCTTAATGGTTAGTAAGCAGATTAAATTTGAGTGCAAATTAAAATAAAAAAATTAGTAAGAAATATGAATTTTTTTCTGGACCTCGTTAAAAATGTTCAAAAGTATCCGGACCCCACCTAAAATTACTTGCCGACCCCTGGTATAGTCTTCCCGATATCAATTGAAGAATCAAGTGGATGACAGTATGTACCAGGTTAGGTCGCTGACGCAGCAACTCGGCATTGAAATATTTGAAAAACTTGTTCCCATATTTATTTAGCCATACCCATATACAGGTCTGGTCGAACTAAACGTGCAGGTGGTAGAAATCTATATGCCCAGTTGAAGAATGGGTGTGCAGACAAACGGTGTTACGCATTGTTGCTCTGGTCGACTGCATCATAAATTTCAGTTGTCGACAAGTCGCCTGGCAGTGCAGTGCAGCAATTTGGTGTGATTCAAGTAATTTTAATTTATTATAGGCACCTTCTATTAATCATTCATATTACAATTATTGTGAAAGGGAAAAATAAGAGGGATATTTGGTTTACTAATATTATTACAACATGGCATTTTGGAGACCTTTTGAAACTGAATATATTGAATGGTGTATTAGGGTCAACCTATTTCAATAAACAGATGTATTATAAAACGAAATTTACCATCAATATAATATAAATTTTCTACACATTATATACAAATTATTATAATTTTTTACCTTTAGCAGAAAACTTTTTTAGGGACGCCTATGAAACTCATTAAATTTTAATGCTCGGCTTTTTTAAACATGTTCAACTGACTTCGGAAAGACTATAATACCATATCGTCGTGGCGCCTCCAAATTACGCTATGTGCATTTTTTCCAAAAATTTGTTTTTTATTGTTCCTGGTAGATTAGCGAGCTCTCCACCTGCCAATATAACTAATTTGGTGAAATTTTTGTTAATTTTACTTAATTCCCAATATTAATATATTCCGCTATGTGATCTTAACAAAAATGGAGCATCGATAACAGCTAAGTGCATCAATCTTCAACTTCTTACACATAGCGGATTTCATGTCAAACATTTTGCATTAAAAATGCGCTATGTGTTACAGTTCGTACAGAAAATAACATTTCGGANTGAAAATGCAATTTAGGTACATTTATTTTATGTATTTAAACAGTCATTCATTTTCGTGTTTAACTTTTTCTGTTTTTTTTTTTTATTTTGAAACGTATATTACGTAAGTTTAAAATGTTGACTTACTCAATATAGCCTAATAGAATATTTGCAACTTCTGCAGCTTAAGACACATGATGTTATACAGTCTTTACTGAACAAAAACACTAAATAACGTGTCACCACAAATTCCTAGACATAGCAAAGATAATCCGCACACCGGACAATCCGCACACAGATAATCGGGGTTCTAATGTATTTATAGTTGCAAAGAAAGAGGAATATCTTTCTTAATATGATGAAAGCAAAATTTCATGTGGATTTACTTAAAGTTTTTCAAATAATGGACAAAAATATGCTCAATATAATTTTTTTCAAATTTTGGTATTTCTGGTAGGTACATAATCTAATAAAGTACAGAAAGAGTTTAGAATTGTGTAATAACCATAACAAAATACCAATTCAAAGAAACATAGTTTAAATTTACAGATAACCGATAAATTACCAAAAGTGACTAAGCACGTTCTCTGGTAAATTTCCAATGTTTAAGTGACTGGTCATTTAGTTTTAATTTATATCAAATTAAAAAATAGTTCACATAAGGCGAGAGGTCAAATTTATCTTTAAGAGTAGGTAACCATTGATAACTCTTATAATCACTATTATTATTAAATGCAAATTAAAATATGAAGATAATCTGTCTTAAATTTATTACTTTTTAACTTAATTCATAAATTTTACCTAAATGGTCCATAGAAATTTGATGCAAATTTTGCAGTATATGATAGAACCGCTACTTTATTAGCCAATTTGTGGTGAATCAGTTTTTGTTTTATGGCTGCTATTCTTCCATCCATCATATCTGAAGGAGCCACAATGTGAGCTCCTAAAAATTATTTTAAATATTGCTAATATAATGTACTTCAAATTTAAACTAAAATAGATACCTGCCTGGGCATAGGATAAAGCTACATCTGAAATTCTTTCCAAACTAGCTTCATTATTTAATGTTCCATCAGGAAATAAAATACCACAATGTCCATGGGAGCTGTAAGGACACAAACATACATCACATGCAATTGTCAGATTAGGAAACCATGTTTTTAGTTGAGGGAGAGCTTTTATTACTGGGTTCTGCAGACTGTCTGCATTTGTCGCATAGTCATCCTGTTAAAATTTGCATATTATGTAATTTTCAATAATGGATGAACACACTTTAATTCACCTTAGGTAGATTGTCAATAACACCAAATAAAAGAATTGCTTGCAAGCCTTTTTGTACTAATGGCCATAGATGATTTTTCAATTTATTTATTCCAAATCTGGAAATTCCTGGCATACTATCAATGGGTTGCACAGCATTTTCATCTTCCCTAGAGCCATAAAGGTGAACGTAAAGTAAATATATATCTCAAACGATATTTTTATAATTTGCAACTTAAAATAATTATGATTACTTACACTAAAAAAATTGGGTACATAAAATTCTTTGTGGTTAGCTCACTTTGCAGTCCTTGCCAGTCTCTTAAAGTTTGATTAAAAATGCTACTATGCAATATATGCCTTTTTTCAACGTTATAACATGTTTTTTCTATCATGATTAATAAATAACTTTGTATTATAGTTTTTGACTTTTTAGTACATTAATATGTTTCATAACCTTCAAAAACATTAAGTATGTATTAAAATTAAGTAAACCACAAAACAGAAGTAAACATTTTCTTCTTCTTCTTCTTCCAACCGAGCCCTGTTTGTTAGTGTTTTTCTTTTACGGATAAATTTCTCTATTACCAATCAAATTGTGGGAAGATTCAATTGACAATTCCTCTAAATTCGTAGTAATTGCTCTAGGATGAATAGGATAAGTTATATATAGAAGGAATTTAAAAAATAATTAGTTACAAGGTTAGGTAATATCCTTGACACACCCTATACTCCTGTGTTCCATGACCATGACAAATCAAATTTTCGAAATTGGTAGGTAATTACAAAAGTATGGTTTAATTCCTTTCGGAGAATTTCTTTAGAAAAGTAGGGATGGTTGCATATTGCATATATTAAAATATATATTGTGGCAGCAATGGAAGTCAAATTCAGTATTAAAAATAAAATTATTTATTATTTCTTTTAACATACACTTTACCTGTTTTAAACGTAATAATTATTCTACTTTCTTTTTTTGAACAACTCGACAGAGATATAGGTATGATATTAAATGGGTATTACAAAATTATTAATAAATAAAGTAAGTACTTAGGCGAATATAAATACAGGGTGTTCCTAAATAAGTGTCGCAACGGAAAACTGTAAATTCCTCTTGAAGAGAGAAACATATTTTTCCTCTTCAATTTTTCTCTCCGAGCTTTCTTTTTCGAGATACACGGTGTCAAAATTTTTTTCAAATTTTTGCCAATATCTTAGAAACCGTGTGAACTAGAGGACTGAGTTTTTGTACATACATTACCACTATTAATAGCTACTTGTAGCAAATGTTGTTAATTTTCGTTAAAATTGTTAATTATTACTACCTATCTTTTGAATCACAAAAGATTTTCGAAACGTTAGCAAAATGTTTGTTTTTCTTCATTAAAAGTCATTTTTCTTGAAAACGGTTGACTTTAGAGCAATGAACTAAGAGAACTCTTTTTGTGCAAAATTCATTGACGCTTCAGAATTTGCTGTCACATGTCAATTTGTCCAGTGGCGTAAAAGTTGGGGGAGGGGGAACCCTGACGATACCTTAAAATCTCCACCACTGGCTCGTTCAATGAANAGTGTAAAAGTAGCTTTAGTGTTTTAAACTTAAACTGTCAATTGCTGAATTGACAATATTTTAATGTAGGACACGATTCAACCGTGATATATAGGTAAAAAAGGAGTATAAAAGATACTACGGTCCAAGAAGGTTGTCTTATCAATTTTCTCCACATTTATTCAAAAACATAACTTAAATGAAATAACTGGCAACACGAATATTACATGGCGATCCTGCCAGGAACAAAAACAAATTTATATAAACAGTCTATTTCTCTAAAAGAAAACGTTAGTCCTGTTTATGTTAAACCTTACAGACTTCCGTATTTACAAAAAGCCGAGATTAATAAACAAATTCAGGATATGTATAAAAATGGAATAATTGAGGAATCACGAAGCGAGTGGTCCTCACCAATTCTACTTGTACCAAAAAAGACACACACTAGCACGGAAAATAAATGGAGATTAGTGGTTGATTATAGGTTATTAAATTATGAAAAATGCTTTGTTTATTTAGATGACGTTATTGTTTTTGGTAGAAATTTAAATGACCATAATAAAAATCTTCTTAGTGTATTCAAACGGCTTAGAAAAACCAACTTAAAACTTAATCCAGTGAAATGCGAATTTTTAAAGAAAGAAATTATATATCTTGGACATCTTATAACGGCTGAAGGTATTCTACCAGATCCATCAAAAATTAAATGTTTACAAGAGTATCCTGCACCAAAAGATGCTAAAGAAGTTAAAAGATTTGTTGCATTTGCAAATTATTATAGAAAATTTATTCCAAATTTTGCAGAAAAGGTATTCAGTTTAAATAGATTATGTAGGAAAAATGTAAAATTTGAATGGAGTAAAGATTGTCAAAACGCATTTTTGTCACTTCAAAAAGCTTTAATTCAACCTCCTATGTTGGATTATCCGGATTTCTCTGATAACAACGAATTCATAGTTCAAACAGATGCATCTAACGTAGCTTTCGGAGCAGTACTTTCAAATAAAAATAATAAACCGGTAGCTTACGCTAGTCGAAGTTTAAGCAAAGCTGAAGTAAACTACCCCACCATACAAAAGGAAATGGCTGCATTAGTATGGGCTGTTAAGCATTTTAGGCCTTATCTATATCGTATTAAACGTTTCAAAATAAAGACGGATCATAGACCTTTGGTATATTTGTTCAACATGACCGATCCATAGAGTCGATTAACTAAATTTCGATTATGTTTAGAAGAATATGATTTCTATATCGAATATATAAAAGGTGATAAAAGGTACTGAAATTGTCACAGCGGATGCCTTATCTAGAATTGTAATATCATCCGATGAACTAAAACGTACAAACGAATGTTTAATGACAGTTATGACTAGGGCGCAAGCCAACAAACAAAATGTGCTTGTAGATACAGAAAAGAAGGAGGAAGTCGATAGTGTTCGGCCTGATCAACCGAATATTGTCGAAATTCTCAAAAGCCCAAAAGACTGTATCGAATTAAAAATAATATCCGAACATGAAATCAGTCAAATTAAAAATTTCGAAAATATGTCAACAAGATTCGGCAGTTTCTGTTTCATCCCTTCACTTGCATTATTATATTTGAATCCAAATACTCGATCGGCATTAACGCAAGACGCATTGTTGAGAGATTTGGCTTTAATATGTGAAAAAGTGAATATTCGTGAATTAATTGTTATTAAAGAAGAGAATAATATGAAATTAATTAATAAATAAAACAGGCAAATTGAAAGGTAATAAGTACCCAAAAATATATGTTGTGAAAGGTGTTAAGAGAGTAACAGACGCAGAAACAAAAAAGCTAATACTAAATGGTTTTCATTTACTCCCCACAAGTGGTCATGCAGGCGTTAATCGCATGATAAACAATATTAAAAAATATTACTTTTGGTCAGGCATGCAAAAAGATGTAAATAACTTTGTGAAAAAATGTGACGACTGCCAGAGATACAAATATTGCAAGAGTATAAAAGAACCAATGGTAATCACATCTACTGCAACATCGTCGTTTCAAAAAATTTTTCTTGACGTTGTCGGTCCCTTAGATAAAGATGTTAATAACAATTTTTATATACTAACACTTCAATGCGAATTAACAAAATTTGTAGAAGCTTATCCTTTAAAATCTAAAGATTCTGTAACAATAGCTAACAGTTTAGTAAATAATTTTATATTGCGTTACGGAATAGTGCAAGAAATCGCTACAGATAAAGGAACGGAATTTATGTCAGAAACAATGATTGAAATCTGTCGATTATTAAATATTAACAAAATTAATTTAGCATCTTACCATCATGAAAGCATAGGAGCATTAGAAAATTCTCATAAAGTCCTAGGAGCTTATTTACGGATGCAAACACAGAAGCACACCGCTTCTTGGAGTACTTGGTTACTGGTGTTTTGCATATAATACAACTGTTCACACGGAAACAAAGTATACTATCCATTAGAATTAAAGCATAGATTACAAATAGCTCATATGACGCTAGAAATAATTTATTATTAAGTAAAGGAAAAAGAAAATGTAATTATGATAAGTTCACAAACTCTATTAAATATAAGAAGGGTGATTTAGTGCTAGTGAAAAGTGAAACGGGTAATAAACTAACCCCTTTATTTGATGGTCCTTACGTGGTAGTAGAAGAACTATCTCCAAATGTAAAAATAATAAAAAACTCTAAGGAAGTGGTAATTCATAAGAATAGAACTAAACCATATTATAAGTAATATTAATGCTATACCTGAACGTTCAGAGTACAGACATAGTGTACTAATTTTTTTATTATTTCAATTTTATTGTAAAAATTGTATTTTTTTTATTGTGTTAAGTTAAGGAAAATGTTTGATTTGGATAATTAACTTTCTACAAAGTCATAATTACCAAAACAAAACTTTTCGGGGAAGGTGTAGTGTAAGAGTAGCTTTAGAGTTTTAAACTTAAACTGTCAATTGCTGAATTGACAATATTTTAATGTAGGACACGGTTCAACCGTGATAGGTAAAAAGGAGAATAAAAGATACTTACTACAGTCCAAGAAGGTTGTCTTATCAATTTTCTCCACATTCATTCAAAAACATAACTTAAATGAAATAACTGGCAACACGAATATTACAGTACATACATTACCACTATTAATAGCTACTTGTAGCAAAAGTTGTTAATTATTACTACCAATCACAAAAGATTTTTTCGAAACGTTAGCAAAATGTTTGTTTTTCTTCATTAGAAGTCATTTTTCTTGAAAACCGTTGACTTTAGAGCAATGAACCAAGAGAACTCTTTTTGTGCAAAATTCATTGGCGCTTCAGAATTTGCTGTCACATGTCAATTTGTCCAGTGGCGTAAAAGTTAGGGGGGGGGGGAACCCTGACGATACCTTAAAATCTCCTTCAATGAATTCGAGAAAAGTGCGAAAAAGTAGCTATTAATAGTGGCAATGCATGTACAAAAACTCAGTCCTGTAGTTCAAACGGTTCCCAAGATATTGGCAAAAAATTAAAAAAAAATGAAAATTTTGACACCGTGCATCTCGAAAACTAAAACCCGGAGAGAAAAATGGAAGAGGAAAAGAATGTTTCTTTTTTCAAAAGGAATTTACATTTTTCCGTTGCGACACTTATTTAGGAACACCCTGTATAACAGGTTATTTTGTTAATTTGAAATGAATAAGCAGGTAGGCACCTAACCTACGTAGGTATGTCCTGTGGCAGATACTTTACTACTTGTATCTGGATGTATTGGCATGTTTGGAACTTACGTATCTTTTACCCTTGACTATATACATGTATATACATGTATACATGTATATATATGTATATAGTCAAAGCTTTTACTGACGTCCATTGTACAATCTAAAAATATAGACAGACTTGTATTTCACAAATGGAAAATTTTTATCTATTGCATGTACTTCTCTCTCTC